GCACCACTGGTCCGCTCGAGCAACGAACGTGAACCTGTAGTTTTCTGCATTGGTGTCACAGGCTGATGACGTCAGCACCGCAGGGAGACAGCTGGATTTGTGTCAGAGAGGGAGCGTGAGCCCCCTCTAGAGGACACAGACAGGGAAAACTTTTCCGTGTTTTGAAATGTGGGGAGCACATCACCCTTGGCTCTTAACACCCCCTTACTTTGCTCTCATAGCTGTAGCTGCAAAACTTTACTGGCCAGTCTGAGGAGGGCATGGTACCTGTCTGCGTGGCAGGCAAATGTTGGAAGCCTCATCTTCCTGTTTCCTGAGAATGCTGGTTTCTCTCATTTTCTTTAAGAATCTTATTCTGATCAACCCGACTGCATTACGCTACTGAAATCAACTAGTGTTTTAGAGACGGTCCAGATCAGAATGGTAGTAGCCTGTTACCATCTGCTGCAGAGTTAACCAGCACGCTGTAGCAAACAACCTGTAAATGTGAGGAATTAATGTAACAAGACAGTGAAGATAAAGACATTAGCTGGATCAAAACCAGGAAAATCATACAGTGGATGGAAACTTGTGATGTTTTTAAGAAGAATGAGTGATGGATCACTAACTGGTCTGATTGTGTCTCATTCTCTGCATCAGGATGTCCACGTTGACCTTGAACCACTGCTCTTTGCTCTTGTGAGACTGGGTGCCTTTGACCCAGTAATCTGGCTGGTTCAAGCAGAACATGTTATGGTCATTTTCTCCTGTTTCCACAGCAATGTCACCTGCAAATTTTCACAGGAATTGAACAGATCTGTCTTGAGATTCTCCATGAAGACTTTCCATGAAGAGTTTTATAACCTTTTTTCATCAAGTATTTTTGGTGACTGAGTTCACACCATTCACTCACTGTTTTGAAGCCTATAAGCAGCACATAGTGAGAAATACCCAAACCTATACAATAATAAATGATGTATTATTACGTTGTGAACTAAAATATGTATAATTTTATTTATTTTCTCAAATAGGAAGTAAGTTAATCTTTTTTTATACGTGATGTAAAAATTTCCTTAAAAAACAACAAATGAAAAAAACACAATGGGACGAGAAAAGGGGATGTAAGACAGTCTAACGACTACTGGGAAAACAATGAAAATCCAACATCAGAGTGTAAGTGGCAGGACAGGGAAATACATTTCATATGGATGCAGGACAAATATCATCTATTAATCAATAAGAATAAGGGGGAACTGTTATTCCTGCTCTGTGCTGTGTCTGCTGACTGTATCTGCGTCTTCCTGGAGTCCTAAATATCTAAAAGCTCTTTATGAACATCAAAGCAGCGTCACAGCCGAGCTCATCATTTAATCAACATTTAATAGGGTCTAATTATTTGTAGTGACCACATTTAAAGAATTTCATCAATTTTATCCAGTAAACTACAGTCATGTGAGAAAGTTTGTGCGCCTAAATTCAAATTCCATATTGTTGTTGATTTTCTGAGTGTAAATAAGTGAAACACGTCCTCTACAGAGACACACTACTGAGTTTAACATAGTGGGATAAAAACACAAACTGTGGCCTGTGCAAAAGTTATGGCACATGTTATATCACATTTTTTCATATATAGTAAAAACAGCAAATAAACAGAAACTGTGCACTAAAATTTGGAATATGAAATTAATCATAAAACATTGCTTTTTATTATGAAGCATTAAAATTTTACATGACATTTTAATCCTTAAATTGTTTTAAATTGTTAAACATGGTTTATCCTACAGGGGCGTCAGATCCAGTCCAGATACTGAAGGAAACTAAACTAGCAGTTAATCAGGTTTTGTGCAGAGCAGAAACAGTAGGTCTGAACTGACTCACCTCCGAGAACAGAGACGACCACTCCACTGAGAAAGACCACACAGACTGACCACCTTTACCACCTAGATCAGTAAAATCACTCTGGATGATCTTCTGCTGAGAGTGGTCGGTTCTCCTGACTCTCCTCTCTCCTACGGTGTCAGTCTGGTCCGCTAGTTTACCGTTACTCTGTTTTTCTTTCCGCCCGTATTCGGGGGAACTCCCGCCTCCTGCGCCATGATTGGCTAAGAGCCCCTTCGCTCTCCAGCAGTCCGCCAATCAGACCGAGCGCAGGACGGCTGTGCCTGAATACGGGTGGGTAAGAGGGAAACAGCGTAACTATATAAGTACTGTGGTTTAAGGTTGAGCCCGAGCTGAACTATCAGGCTCTGATATTAGTTTAGCAGCAGTTTAGTCTCAGTCTAACACAGGTTTAGCTAAACCACTAACTTAATGGGATTAACCAGAGCAGGTTAATGAGGAGTCTGGCCTCTTCCTGTTTCCCCCTTATATCAAAAACAGGACCGCAGAACAGCAGAGGGCGCCCGCGAGTGAGTCCTCAATGAATGGGAGTGAACTGAGCTAAACGGCTAAAATGAAGAGTTAAATAGTTTCTAATCACTGAACCAGAACTGTCCTTTAGTTTTAGACAGTAGAGGATGAGTTTCAGTAAATAAACAAAGAAACCTCACCTGTACTCACCTTTTTACTACAGCAAACGGGTTTTGGGTAGCAGGACACTAACATTACTGATCCTGAGTGCTGATTGGTTAACATTACTGCTACTGAGTGCTGATTGGTTAACATTACTGCTACTGAGTGCTGATTGGTTGGTGAGCGGAGCAGCTCATTGCACTCACTGACATCATGAACGTACATGAGGCGCAGTTTTAAACTCCTATAGCTCAAGATTAAAAACTCTTAAAAATATAACACAGATGTTAAAGTGTTTTATGCTGTTCTGTGTTCAGGAAATTAATTTTTTACATTAAAACTGTTTGAGTATTTATAAACTATGATTTTGCTCAAATGCTCCATATTAACTGACCTATTTGGACTCGGGAGCGCCCTCTAGCATTTGAGAACCCCAGAAGACATTACAGAGTGATACTTATCCTCTCTGCAGACACACAGACACACACGTTCACACAGACACACACGTTCACACAGACACACAGACACACACACACACACACACACACACACACACACCTGGGGAAGTCTCAGTGTTTAATTAAGCAGTACAGCATTTACTTAAAACATACCATGAAGTCCACATAGCATTATGATGGAAGGTAAGAGGGCCTAAGTCTGGAATATTAAAACACCTGAGCTGGAAATGCCTAAACCTCAGTAAAACCATGTCTTCAGCATGCTTAACATAAACCTCAGTTGAACCTGAGACACAGCGACATCTAGTGGCAGATGTGTGAAAGGGCAGCAATTGGTTTAAACTGCAGGTGCGCGTTAAAGTGCAGCTTCCACAGACAGCAATGAAGTTCAAGAGCCTACATGACAAAAAAGTTCACAACAACTGGTGTAACAATTTTATTGCAATATAGTAAATTTAACTGACAGTATTAAAGACGTCCATGATCCAAAACAGAATAGAAATAGAAACTGAACAAAACAATAGAATTGAACAGAACAGAACAGAATAGAACAGAACAAAACAATAGAATTGAATAGAACAGAACAGAAAACAGAACAGAACTGAACAAAACAATAGAATTGAATAGAACAGAACAGAACAAAATAGAACAGAACAAAACAATAGAATTGAACAGAAATAGAACAGAACTGTCCAACCAAGACTGAAAAATGTTTTAACGTCCAAAGTTTGAAAGCAATAAAAAATCTGGGTCTGTTTTACAGAAACTTCCTATCTTTTAGTCTAAAGTTTAGACCTGACAGGTCGAAATGTTTCACTAACTCGTATTACAGAACTTTATTTAGGAATCTTATCTAACGTTATACACCAGTTAGTTCCGGTCACGCGAGCTGATTGGTTGAGAGGCGTTCTAACTGTGCTGTTATTTCACCATAAAATCACAGGTTTTTCACAAACACTGTATCACTCCACTGAGACGCCGCTGCTAAGCAACGACTTTGTCAGCTATAGGAGACGCTCAGCCATTTGAACATTTTACTTCTTACTGTGCCACAAACAGAAAATGGACACTTTTAAGATCACATTTGACCGACAGCCGATTTGGTCAGACTCTGAAGATGAGACGACACTAAATTCCCAAACTGTCATCACCACTGAGCAGCTTTTCAGTCGGCAGCTGTGACAGAAGAACAGCTAAACAACCTGGAATCAGCCAGAAATGAACCCAACACCATTCGCCAAACATGGAGTCTGATCTTCAGAGTCTGATCAAATCAGACTGAGCCATAAAACTGACCCAATAAAAAAACAAAAAGCTGCTCAGTGGTGATGACAGTTTGGGAATTCAGTGTGAGGAGCTGGAGAACAAACTTCATGGTGACTAAACAGATCAGGTTTCAGAGTTAAGAAGTTTCTGTAATACGACCCCTGAATCATAAAAATACATACATATACAATCCATATAAACACACAGTAAACTGTATAAAAGGTCCCCAGTAAGTTCTGTCTGGTTTTGTTCAGTTTGGATCTTTAACAGACTTTTTTTTCCACTGTTGCTCTAAAAGGTCCAGATGAGAGAGACTCAAATACTAAACTCACTCAGTATAGAGACAGTCTTCCTCTGCAGACTGTATTCACTGTTTACCATTTTAATCTGCTGATTTAACAGTTCTAGATAACAGCTTCCTGCACTGTACAGTGGTGTTAAACACAAGACTGTTACTATACAGACACAGCCTCTCTGTAAAGAGTCCATACTGAACACAGACCATTTAACATTCCTACAGTTCCATTACAAGCCCTTTACAGTCTTAAGTTTAAACCGTCTTATGCTTAAGTGCATTTTTTAATTGAAGCTGGTGCACGTGTGACATTGCATATCAAGTAGTTTAACACTAAAGCAGTACTCTGAATAAAATCAGTCCATGATTAAAACAGATGCTAAATATAAATCAATTAAAAGCACAAATATATCAGAAAGGAAGTCTGCATAACCACCTATGAATATGAGCTTTTAAAATTGACATGTTTTGCTCAGTGCTGATAAGGGATTCATAAAAGCTTGAATGGAAGCAATAATGTTCTGTGTATAAATCTTTGGCTTGGAGAACTTATGCTAAAAACTTAGCAGAATAAAAAAGACATTACCATCTGCCTTAATAAATGCATTATTATAAACTTATTAAAATGAATAATCTTTCATTATAACGATGTATTAATCCTTTTCTATTCATAAATCAAAATGTTTCCATCTTTGTTCAGTTATTGCTTAAGTGAAGATCCACTGTACTACGTTAGAGGAACTAAATATTCAGCTGTTCTTTGATGCTTAAACTGAATGTTTATCATTAAGAGTACTGGAATGTAGTTTCTATTATGGTGGATTTCTGTTAAAGCTGCACTATGTAGGTTGTTTTTGTTGAAACTGAAATAAGTATCATTACTGAGTGAGGAGAACAAAATTAGGCTAAAATACGGTGAGTGTGCGCCACTCTGAGTCACCCTGTCGAGAGTTTTTCACACCACATTGTACGTCTTCACATTTTAACTTCATTTAACGTCACATACACAGACTCAAAAAGAAGGTCCGCCTCGATGTTTACGCCTCAAATGATCAACATTAAATTAACATTATACTGATGAAGAAATGATGACAACAGTAAATTATTGATTCACATCCTCAGAAGACGCGTCTTACTCTCAGTCATCAGAATCATCTCCTCAGGGAAGGGGTTTGAAGTAGGGGTCTGCAATCCTGCGGATTCCCGCTGGACCCGCCACAATGCCTTCTGGGTCTAATTTTCAGTGTTGTGAGTGGAAGCGGGAGGGAAACCAGCCCACTGCAGGCGGGAGCGGGATGAAGCACACATGAAGAGAAGTGCCACAAACTAATGAACAGCCCGAATAAAGCAGAACCACCCCTAAATGATACGAAGGCCACAGCTGCCCCGCAAAACACCAAATATAGCCGCTCTGTGGTTTAATTCCTGCTTTGTGTTTAAATGGTGCATAAATGGCGTTTGGTGAAGTTACTCACAGTGAGCCTGATGACCATGACTGCTGTGTTATTTCAGCAGAGAAGAATGTATTTCTGAATAAACTGTGTCAGATATTGAATGTCACTTCCCCTTGATGGAACTGTGTGGGCGGAAGCAGGAAAACACATTTCAGTTGTGGGCTTGAACGGTACAAACGATTACGATTTTCTATGGGAGCAGGATGAAATCTTGTGAGAGCGAAACTGAAAAAACAGTCCCGCGCAGACCCATGTTACAAAATTACATGTTGTGTGCAGTTACACGTTTCCACCAGAGAGGTCTCCAAATACCCAAATCTTACATAGTGCAGCTTTAACGTAACAGTGATGTAAAAGTACGGACTTGATAAAAGAAAGGAAAAGAGTCTGTGCTGTAAGAAAGTCTGGTGTGGAATCCTGAATGATCTGGAGTTCCAGTGTAATTCACTTCCTCTGTTCTGGAGTTCCTGTGAAACAGATATTAAATTGTTGTTATGTACCATCACCAGTCACTTTATTAGAAACAGCTGGCCACTTTTTAGAAACACCTACCTTGTACTTCCATTAACTGGCCACTTTATTAGAAACACCTACCTTGTACTTCCACTAACTGGTCACTTTATTAGAAACACCTACCTTGTACTTCCACTCACTGGCCACTTTATTAGAAACACCTGCCTTGTACTTCCACTAACTGGCCACTTTATTAGAAACACACAGTGGAGAGTGATGTGGTGTTGTGTGTGGAGCTGGAATGAATGTTTGAGACATAGCAGTGTTATTGTAGGTTTTAGTCAGTATCAGGGCTGGGTTGAGAGGCCTCATTTACCATCTTCCTGAAAGTGTTCTTGAGAAAGGTTCTAGGAAAAAGTCTGCGTCAGATTCATGACGTGTTCTTAAAGCGCAGAACTGTTCACAGCTTTGTGCTCTAGAGTGAGTGTAGATTCTGTTCTTACCTAAGAACAAAACCTAGATAAGAAAACACTGGTGAATGTCAGAATCTCCATGAAAACTGCTTAAGTTGGTTTTAAGAAGACACTTGTGCTTAAGAACGGTTGGTGAACAGTAACTGTGGTCTGCAGGCCATCATAACATAGTAAGCTTTAGCCATTTTTTATTTTAGCCCACAAATCATGGCTGTTTCTAAACTGGACTTTGACTGGGGAAAATATATACAAAACACAGTTCAGAGGCTGATTTACTTCTCTCTGGCCAGTGTGGGCGATTATGCAGTCGAACTCCTCTGGCAGCAGATTTAAATGAGTTTATGGGGTCGTTGTCAGATTCTCAGAATACCCTGCTGGCAAAACGCTCGGCTCCACAGAAGAAGCAAGACAAGAAGCAACTGCTGAATTTCTGATCAGAAGCGTTAGTGTGTTTATGTTCTCTGGTTTAAGCCTCTCTGAGCTGCTACTGCATAATCTGCTGTACTGAAACTGGTTATGAAAACCGAAGCAGCTTTCATGATAAGCGCGGCATCAGCTGCTCAGTCTGTAGAGTTGGGTGGTCTCTCTTTCAGTCAATATTCACAGAAATTTCCCTATACAATAAAACCTGAACATGAAACCTGAAATTTCCTTGTGACTGACCAAAATGGGAAAGCATGTTGCAGGCTTCTCTTTGGTGTTACTGCATTGTCTGCCCTAACGAAACTGGTTACTGGAGAAAAGGGCTATGAAAACCGAAGCTGCTCTCACACTGAACACAGCAGGCTGTCACTCTGCTCAGCTGCTCAGTCTGTAGAGCTGCAACAAAATCATATTGACACTGACCAGTTGCAGCATTTACAGCACCTGGAATGACTGGTAAATAAAAAATATTATGTACATGTAAAATGAACATTAACTGCTGTTTGGTTTTCAGAATTGCATTTCTATTATTGTTTATATTTTTGTTTAGTCAAAATAATGGAAAAACAATATTTGATGCTAAGCTATGATAAACTTGGAAAAAGACTGACCTCACTACATAAATCATCAAATAAACAAGGCCATTTCAGACCTTAACATTTAATACTAACTTCAGCTAAAAAGGAGGGACCATTAGCTCATTTCACACTGACCAAGAAGTATTTAAGTAAATTCACCACTGTGTTCTGAACATTAGTTAAGAACTTTTCTGAACTGTTGGTTTTATGATGACAAGATCCTAATCACACATTTCCCTGGTGATGAGCTTCTTCCTGTCATTGTGCGTCTCATTTTAAGGATGAAGGTGCTGAGGTGGAAGCCTGAGGAGGCTTTTTTTCCTTTTGGTAGTACATTTTCAATAAATAGACTTCACTCTTTGAACACAACCTGTACTAAGATATTCTATACTCACCAATTATCCCCTTCTTTATAAGGGCGAAGATGATCCCACCGAGAATCAGCAGAAGCACCACCACTCCGCCAATCACTGCTCCAACCAGTCCTGAACTCTGGCAGTCAAAGCACAGTTTGTCTGTAAACAGAACGGTGTTGAACAAAAATCAGTTATATATTTTTGTTCTAACATGACAGTGAAAACAGGCTGTAAATCTAAAGTGGACTCTCTTCTATCGTTCATCTGCAGGGGTGACAGATTTTGCTCAACCCGCTGCAATACTGCACCAGCATAAAGCTACTGAAAACATTATTATTCTCTACAAATATTAGTCACAGCCAATCCCAGTCTAGTGTACTACTGCAGGTCTACAGAGCCTCTGCATCACTACTGAACTGCTGCTTACGCAACATCAGAACTCAGGAGTCTGTATGAGATTTAACAGACTCCTTCAATTTCAGCCCTCCATCAGGTCCCAGTGACAGAACCCAACTCTGTACCTGTATGAAAAGTGCTCAGCTTTGGTGGCTCCTGCAGATGCACACACAGCGGCTCTGTGAGCAGCACCTTTTCTCTAGAAAATGAAGCTATATCCACAAGGGGGCAGGTCAGAGCTCAAAGATAGGTGGCTAGCAGGCAACTTGAGAAGACAAAGACTTGCAGCAGAAGTGTTTTTTTTCCTGTGGTTATCAGGATGTGGTAAATCTTTATCTGTGACATATGTACTTTACACTGAGTATTTGCCCTGTATCTATTGGTTAATCTGTAAAAGATTATGTCAGGACAACATATACATTCTGTTGTTAGGTATACAAGTGGCTATTTGTGCTTGCCTTTTTTAACATAAGGGGAAAGTAACTAGAATAGACAGACAACAGCTAAAACTAAAGGAAAAAAGAAAAAATATGGAACAATGTGGTTTTTGTATACATCACATATTGTATCATGTATTTATGTGTATTTTGTCCCCAATAAAACCATTTTGGACGCTTGAATAATATTAAAATAATAAGAATAACAATAAGTTTAAAGGAGATTCCAGAGATTTTTCAAAATTGTTTCAGGTGTAAACAGGTTCATTCAGAGTGGTTTAGTGTGAAACACTCTGTTCTAGATAAGCTTACCGAGTCAGAATTGTTCCCTGTGGTGGTGACAGGAACCAGACACTGCCTGATGACCGAGACATTGATTTATGATTGTTTAGAGAAGATTTTGGCCCAAAACATACTTAATCTATTAAGGTCAGAGGGATACATGCAGGGCGCTGTGAGGCAAAATAGTCTCCAAAGAAAACTTATTATTTCAGATTTTCCACTATTTTCCATCATCAACATTCCATATAAACTCAGAAGACTCGTGTAGGTTCACTGGTGGTTTGGATAGTAAATAAAATGTCTATATTTGTGTTGTAGTCATGGCGACCCCTGGTTCCTATCAGCACCACTGTAAAGATATATAACCATTTCACACCAAACCACCCTGAATCACTCTGTTCACATTTCACACACAGAATTATGCAGAAAGTGTGAAAATCCCTGAAATTCCCTTTAAGCGAATCTGTTTTTGTAGATGTGGCTGAACTGAAATTACTGAAAATAATGACTACAACTGCAAGTAGCAGCTACTTCTAAAAAATATCTACACATTCATACGTACGTGTGTTTTTAACTGCTGTCGGAACAAAACCTTGACTTCAGCCAGCAAAATGTTAATTTCTTGACAACACTTATATCTCCAAAATAGTAACTTTACAGAAGAAGGAAAAAACCTACCGTACTTTTACTATGAATCAATGTTACTAGACTTTTTTCCTGAGTCATTTTGGGCTGTTTCTTAAGGTGCATTCATCGTTAAATTTACATAAAATGTAAAAGGAAACAGGCTTTTTCAAATTATATCTAAAATTAAAAAAAACAGTGACAAAAATGGAGATACAAGGTTTTGTTCCAACACCAGCAATATGTAGCAGTTTGGTCAAGAATGTGTTCATGGTAATTTTGGGGTAATTGTTCTGCAGCATTTATTTGTTGGGTTTTTCTATAAGGACTCTTATTTTGAAGGCGGAGCTAGCCCCCTGGCTGTGGTCTATGTAGATTAGTAAGTACTGAGACAGTCTAGCACTGAGGGCTGAGAGAGTAAGACGTGAGCTTAACCTAAAGCGAACTGTTAGAGCAAAGCTGAGCTTTGATTAACAGATTAACAGAACATCTTCAAATAAAGACATCATTCCTGCAAACCCTGCTCTCCTGGCTCTATTTGGGACAGAAAACATTTACAACAATATTAATATTGATTAAAGTGGGGAAATACTTTAAAGCTGCCCTCATCATGTAGTTTTGGGTCTAGTCTCTGCACATCTGCCATTCTGTTAAACTGGGTTTAGATTTACACTGAGAAACTAATTCTAAACTATAAAAGACCAGAAATACATTAGGTACACAGATATAATTACCCCATTGTTTAATTATCGGTTCTTCGAGGGTGACGTGAGTCACATAACAGTCATAATCTGCTGTATCGTCCTTCTGGATCTTCACACTCTTCCTCAGCTGGTAGGTTCCATCACCATTGGGTCTGACTCCTGAAGATGTTACTAGATGTTCAGGCAGTGAAGTGCGGAACTTCCTCACACTCATCTTCACGTCTTTGGGGTAGAAGCCCGTGGCCAGGCAGGTCAGGGTCAGCTTGCCTGAGTCAGTTGTAGATTTCTTTGCAAATGCATGAACATCTGGTTTGGCTGAAATGACAGCAATAAATTCCTTTTTTTTGTTTTGAAAGAGGAAAAGTAAATGAAATGCACACACACTGTTTCCATTTTTCATTTTTCACAAAGTTTAAAAAGTTTCCTGCAGTAGCCCGTTACCATCTTCTGCAGACAGCAGACAGCAGCAAACAACCTGTAAACGTGTTTTCTGCCACACTGTAGCCAATTTAAAGCGACCTTTTACAAAAAGTCTGAGGACAGCTGACTCGTCAGAGAGAGCAGCGGTCAGCATGTAAGAGAATGGGAGTTTTGTTTTCAGTGTAGCTGAACTGTTTTTGAATCTCTGCTTTTCACCTGGAACCTTTTACTACTGAGCCTCCATTGAACTCCTCGCTCGGTTGTGCCGGCTGTGCTCGTCTGACCCAAAGGATTACTGAACCGGAAGGCAGGATCTCAGTGCTCATGTGGGCGTCAGGCCAGGCTAATGCTACTCCCTCTGTTATTGAGCCAGAGTCTTGGCTGCTCCAGCCCATGTTGAAGATCCTTGGCCTCGGCTGGGGGGAGAGACCAAAGGGAATGAGCTGCTCCACCCCGTGTCAAACAGAGCCGTGGTCTGTGGTGGTCTGGGATTCACTACGCGGTCGACTCGCCCCTCCACTCCACGGGACCACTCTGACAGAGCAACTCGCCCTCCATCCACCTTGGCTGTAGGTGACTCCATCATGAGAAATATCAAACACCGTTCAGCAGTCACCCACTCCCGCTCAGGTGCCAAGGTCTCTGACATCACACAGCAGCTCCCCAGCCTCCTTGATAAGTATCATTTATTCAGAAAGTAGTTACTCATGTTGGCTGTGATCACATAGGAGAATGTGATTTTACACGTTTGTTCACTTTTTAAAAAACTGTTTTTATCTCTGGCCCAATCCCACCTTTAGGAAAGGGTGCAGGACGGTTTAGCTGCATTTTAAACCTCCACCCGTCTGTCCACCATCATGGCTTTTATAGACGATTTTAATCTCTTCTGGAATCGTCCATCCTTTTACTGGAAAGATGGAATTGGGTTTTTAATACAAACTGACTACTAGACTCCAGTGATGACTGTTCTAGCACTCCTGTGATTAGCACCCAAAGGAAGAACAGTAGTAGATGGTTCAGAAAGACCCCTACAGTTCACATAGATAATCTCATCTAGATAAAGCCTCCACCATCACCTCTTAGATCACATTCAGCTCCACAGGTCTCAGAATCTGAACCTCAGGACCCCGACGTGTTTAAAAACAGCAGTGGTCTCGGCTTAATTCATTTAGTTAATTCATTCACTTAATTCATTCCAGACCTGCTCATATTGAAAATAACATTTTAAATGGTGTAACTTTACATGGATCCGCTATTGAAGGAGAAAATGAGTTTAAGTACTGGGGGTGGAGAAAAATAGATTCTTAGGTGCATCGCGATGCTAACATGGACGATTCTGAATCGATTCACAAATTCCCGGACAGTCTGTGGGGCACATAACAAAAACACAACTGGATGAGTGAGAAATCCGACCGGCTCCCTCTGCATTAAAGCCAGGTTAGGTCAGGAGTCACAGCACAAATGATAAGAAGAGCCATTTTGTCCTTTCAACAAAAGTCAAACCAGCTTGGGAGCCACAATACTCAATGTCCAGTATGTCTCAGTGTGTGTTGATGTCCTAGTATAGACTAAACAATGTAAACGAAAACGCAGATTTACTCTGCTCTGCTTTAAGATTTAGCTATAACTGCTTTCCTCCCGTCTCCACCAGAAAACTTTTCCTCAAAAGGAGAACAGTTTATTATAAAATGTCTCTCAACGTTCAACTGTTTTACGAGGCTGAAGTCGCTTCTCCTTCACCAGCTTCTTGTTCTAATTTTCCCATTCCACCTTAAATTCTGCCTGAGGTGCTTGAATGTAAATGCAGCACTATTTAAGGTGGAACGGGAAAATTAGAAACTGAAGCTGACCTCAGCTTCACAACTTTTTAGTGTTTGACAGTCTCTCATTGCAGACTTCCATTTGATTTGGTAATAAAAGATATTGGAAGTAAATTCATTATGGATCATTTCAAATCCTTTGGTAATACTATGTTAAGTACCAAGTCCTCACACAGGGAGAAAAAAGAAATCCTGTATAGAGAACAAGATGCAGCAAGATTCATCGATAATCTTTTTATAATTGCAGCCCTCTGAATCGTAATCGAATCATGAGGTGCCTAGAGATTCACACCCCTAATGAGTACCTTGGCATCTGGCTTGATGAGAAACTTTATTTAAAACTCACGTCAATAATCTAACAAACAAACTGAAGCCGTCTCTTATTACTGTCGGTAAATGAGGGCCCCCCTTGATGTAAACCCGAGCTTAAATAAAGATTGATGATGATGATGATGATGATGCTTTCAGGAAATAAGCCACTAGAAAAATATACAAGGACTTTGGGACTCACAGTGTTTTCTCAGTGCTTCTTTTCCGTACTCCATGAATTTGGTGAGCCAGTCCACACATTCTTTCTCCAGGTAACCCTTGGTGTACTGGTTCAGGATGGGCACCTCATCCCATTTCCTTTTGGTTGGCTCAGCTTCTGGAACTGGAGCGATCCACCGCATGTTGTCATCATCAAAGGAGAGGAACTCCTTTCCATCGTAGCTGTACTCATCAATGCCTCTCAGAAATGTTATATTTCCATCTGCTTCATCGATCTCACAGCCATGTCTCCACTGAAGAACGTGAAGGTCTGGAATTGAGTTAATGTAACAAGACAGTGAAGATAAAGACATTAGCTGGCATAAAACCAGAGGAATCACACGGTGGATGGAAATGTATTATTTTATTTTAAGAAGAATGAGCTATAAGAAACTAACCAGTATTATTTGTGTGTCTCATTCGCTGCATCAGGATGTCCACGTTGACCTTGAACCACTGCTCTTTGCTCTTGCGAGACTGGGTGCCTTTGTCCCAGTAATCTGGCTGCATCTTCTCCTTCATCCAGTCCTGCTTAGGAATCTTAACCTGTTCCTTACTGTTGTAGTAGTCGATTGCCCGGTCATCGAGCAGACCCAGTGCTGTGAACTCATAGATCCCTGGTAGAGGGACATCTTTGTTCAGGGCGGAGTAAATGTAGTACAGAGAGTGTGGATCTGGAGGGGAAATGAGAAAAAAAGTGTAAGAAAACTAACTGATAAATGAAACATAATATCTCTAATCATTTTATGTTGAAACACACTTGAGACACACCTGTAGTGGAGCATGGATCTCAACCTAACAAGTAAAAAGCAACCGAGTAGTTAAACAGGTTCAAGTAGGACATGTTTTGGTTACTTTCTCTTATTCCCACAGCAATGTCTCCTGCAAATATCCACAGCAATTAAACAGATATTTCTTGAGATGAAGTTTAGTAACTTTTTCACTTCACTTCTGTGAAGGCACCATTAATGCTGAACGATATATACATGTTTTGGCAACATATGCTGCCATCCAGACGACGTCATTTTCAGGGAAGGCCTTGATTATTTCAGCAAGACAGTGTTAAACCACATTCTGCATGTATTACAGCAGCATTGCTCCATATTAAAAGAGTCCGGGTGCTAAACTGACCTGCCTGCCGTCCAGACCTGTCACCACTGATAATGTTTGGCACATTATGAAATGAAAAATACGACAAAGGAGACCCTGAACTGTTGATTGGCTGAAATCCTGTATCAAACGAGCAGGAAAACATTTCACTTTCTAAACTACAGCAGTGTCTCCTCAGTTCCCAAACACTTATAGAGTGTTGTTAAAGAAGAGGTGATGAAACACAGTGGTAAACAGGCCCCCGTCACAACTTTTTTGGAATGTGTTGTTGGCATCAAATACATTTTTAACAAGAGTTAAATATTTTTATTAAGATTTTTAATAAGAGTTTTAAAATTTGATATGTTGTCATTTAAATATAGGGTTTATATCATATCATCATCATTGCATTCTGTTTTTTGTTTACATTCTGCAAACTTTTTTGGAAATTGGGTTGTATAAAAATATTTATCATTAAATTATGAACTTCTAAAATAGGAATAATACTATTTATTTTCTTGAATAAACAATTACCATAAGGCGGACGTTTTTTTTTAAATTGATTTTTTGTACTCTTGGATTCAGCCTCAGTGCTAAAACTCTGATACACAGCAAGACAGGCTTTATTTTTAATTACAAATTGAGCTGCATATTTAATATCAGATAATATTGTTCTGCCATTTTAGCAATATTTTTAACAATATATGTGAGAGTTAATGAGCGTTACATACATGATAATACCCAACAAATAGAGGTTAGTTTTTTTGTTTGTTTTATTAAGTCTATGTTACTCATGGTATTAACGTCGCACACACAGAGGCTCCAAAAGAAGGTCCAGCTCGATGATTAGGTCTCCAATTATCTCAAAATCAACATCATACTGATGGAGTCATGCTGATCATAGTAGATAATTCCACTAAAGTGATGCTTATCTCCTCTTCTGTGATGTCTTTCTTAAAGCAACATTATGTAACAGTTCTTTAAAATAATACCTTAAATAATACCTTAAATCAATAGCTTCAAAGTAATTTTGATGATACACTGACTTATCAAAGGGAGAATGGTGTCTCTGTCGTTGCCACTTTGGGCCAGATCGCCTGCTATAGCACTATGTAACTTTAGAGGAGCAGCACGAGACGTCTCGTGAGAACTGCATAAGGCTTTACGACACCCGTCACACAACAACTACGGCTCCAGCTAGCTACAAGAAGCTAGCTCGGGATTCCCAACAATTAAAATGCCAGTTTAACCCATTTAACCTTTAGACACCAAAAAACATGGGGATTTTTTTTGGTATTTTAGGTCAATTACAATTACAATTCTAAAGTATTTACATGAGACAGTCACACAGGCCATATGTTATTATTTTCAGGAGACCCTGGGCTACTCAGATACGCCATTGTTTGACATGTAAATGATGAAAGAAATTTGATATCTTTATGAATTTGGATCATGTCTGTTTAAAAATGTACCTAGTGCCTGCAAATTTTTGTATTTTTTAATTACAGAGATCTTGAAAACAAGTGTTGTTGTAGTTATCTTTTCAGAAACTGTTGTGTCTGTGAGCTGAAATGGTGATTCATTCTGTTGGTTATTATGAGTAAAAATAAACAATTACCATAAGGCAGACTTTTTTTCTTTTATTGATTTTCTGTCCTCTTGGATTCAGCCTCAGTGCTAAAACTCTGATACACAGCAAGACAGGCTTTATTATTCATTACAAATTGAGCTGCATATTTAATATCAGATATTTTTAATAGTCAAAATCAATGTAAACTGAAAGCCCTTTGTTTATAATATGAAGGCTAAAGGCAGAGATGTAGTATAACAGTAGTGGGTTTGGGTGATTTTGGAGCTGATCTCTGGCTGATGGACGGTTTTGTTGGAATATGAAGGCCAAACAGCAAAACAAGAACATCAGGATTTAGGGGATTTTCCGAGCCGAATTACTGCTGGTGCTGATAACATCAATGCTTGCTAATTATGGGCGGGTCTGTGGAATGTCCTGATATGTGGATCATGGTTCGATCTTAAATCTCTCTGAAGTTATTAAAGCTAGAAGTGACCTACCGTTTCTTAGGGTCCGAGGGTTAAGAGAAAACACTGTTATTAAATATTGGTCATCAGCCAGTCTGTCTGAAAAGAAATCTGAATCGGACACACCAGTTTATAAATGGTGTTTCCTTACTGATTACAGGAGATAACGTAGAAATCCATGTCATACATGTGAAAAGAGTAAATTAATGGATGATAAGATGAAAAACAAAAATGCATAATAATAATAAAACAGCCCAAAGTGGGAAAAAGGTGTAAAACACATGAAGGTCTTCAGCAGCGGACTGTTTCTCAGCAGCTCTTCTCTGTTCCCAAATGTCTTCTTTCTCATATGTCCAGGTCTGTGAGGGACCCAGTTAGGTTTAACACAGTTTATCTAGCAGACGCTTTAACTCCAGTCCAGATAACGAAGAGGAGTCAACTAAAGTAGTTCATCAGGAATTCTGAATGTCTGCGCAGCAGAAACAGTAAATAACTCACCTCCGAGAACAGAGACGACCACTCCACTGAGGAAGACCACACAGACTGCCGGAGCCCCCATCACCACCTTTACCACTTAGATCAGTAAAATCACTCTGGATGATCTTCTGCTGAGAAGAGTCGGTTTTCCTTACTTTCCTTTCTCCTACGGTGTCAGTCTGGTCCGTTAGTTTACCGTTACTCTGTTTTTCATTCCGCCCGTATTCGGGAGAACTCCCGCCTCCTGCGCCAAGATTGGCTAAGAGCCCCTTCATTCTCCAGCAGTCCGCCAATCAGACCGAGGGCAGGACGGGTGTGCCTGAATACGGGTGGGTAAGAGGGAAACGGCGTAACTATATAAGTACTGTGGTTTAAGGTTGAGCCCGAGCCGAACTATCAGGCTCTGATATTAGATTAGCAGCAATTTAGTCTCAGTTTAACACAGGTTTGGCTAAACCACTAACTTAATGGGATTAACACGAAGCTGCAGCCCGTGCGCATAAGGGTAGGAATCCCCGTAGCGGGTGCCTGCCTCCGGATGGGATCTGCCCATCCGAAAAAGAAAAAACTGAAAAAACAGTCATTGTTGTCTGGCCATGACCCCTCAGCCTACAAAATAACTACATTAACACCAATCCTTTAAAAAAACGGCCTTGACCCATCTAATTTAAATAACCATCAAAAGTCCTTGGGTCATTGCAATGCAGCTCAAAGCCTATCAGAAATGAAGGATCATCTCAATCCCTTCCAGACTGGTTTTTGCCCATATCACAGCCCCAAAATGGCTTTGGTTGAGGTTGTCAGTGATCTGCTTCTGACCCCAGATGCTCTTAGTATTCTTGTTCTGCTTGTTTTAAGTGCTGCCTTTGACATGGTGAGCCCCTCCAGCCTCCTGGGCATTGTTGTTTCTGTTCTTGATTGGTTCACCTCTTATCTAACAGATTGTAAGCCTTAATCTCAGTTGGCTGTAGCCCCTACGTCCCCAGATTCTACCCTGGAGAGATACTTTACCACAGAAAAACTCACACTTCTCCATAAGACCCACAGAAGATGCAGATAAACTGAGAATAGAGCTCACTGGGATAGAGGAGCTTCTGGATGGGCACCGTGGCCTAAAAGGACTTGTGTCAAAAATATGTAACTTATTGTTTGGTGTTTGTACATCTTCTCTACCTTACCTGAGGGGTGTGTGGGAGCGAGATCTGGGCATGAACATAGGTGACGATGATGGGAAATTGATTTGAGAAGGCTTACAGCCTAGATTATGCTCAACATCACTTCATGAAATTAATTTTATCAATAAGACTTATCTTACGCCACTTCGCCTCCATATGATCTCCTCAGTTTGCTCAAATCTTTGTTTCAAATGTAAACAGGAAAGAGGTATATAAATGTACTCTTTTTGGTCATGTGACAAGGTACAGTTTTACAGGAAGGGGATCCACCATAAAAAAATATTGAAGGTTGGCCTGGTCTTCTCTCCTGCTTTGTTCCTATCAAACTTTGATATGGACTCTGTACTTGACTATAAAACAAAGCACCTGTTTTTTATATTAGTATCTTTGGCCACTTTGACTATTGCAAAATTAGTTTGTAATAAACTTTTGAAATTCAGCTGAAGCTGTTGCTTAATACAAAACAGACTCTGATGCTATAGGTAAGACCCCAACCCACTAGTAACCAAAAATACAACATGCAAAAGAAAACAAACCAACAGCATATATAAATACACTACCAACAAAAATAATCAAGTAGATGAGCAACCAAAAAAACACAGAAAATACACTCTCTAAATTGTCACTCATCAATACAAATTAATAGGATAAGAAGCCAAATTATTTAGACAGGATTCTGTTTAATTTAAAACAGCCTTAAGCACTAATGTGCATCTTTTCAGGAGCACCCCTTAATTAAGAAGACGCAAATGACTGGGGCACTAATCAATCACTAATCAATCACTAATCAATCTAAAAAAACAAAAGAAAAGCAAACCAGGAGAGAACAAGGGGGAACCCACTAAGGAGGGAACACTAAAGGGGGAACCCACTAAGGAGGGAACACAAAAGGGGAACCCACTAGGGAGGGAACACTAGTGAGGAAAAAACAGTGACCATCACCAGTGGTACTGATCAGTCTGTAATACAAATAAACATTCATTTGCATTTTTGCACATTTTACTTCACTTTAACAGTGTCAGCTGCTAGAATTACTGTATCAACCAAATACTGTATACTGTATGTTGCTGTTCTGGCTGCTACCTCAGTGACCGCATTGCTCATATATGCTAATATGTCATAGTGTGTTCCATCCTCCTCTGCACAGCTCCACATACTCTCAGTACCGTGTGCTGCCTGTGTTCTGTTCTGTATTTACTGTAAGTCTTTCGTATTTATTTACTGTACTGTACTGTCTGCACTGTGTTTCTTGTATTGTCCTGCACTTGTGTTCTGGAGGAATGATGTTTTGTTCACTGTGTACTTATACAGAGCTGAAATGACAATAAAGCCTTGACTTGACATACAGTTAGCTCTTTAGCAGTCCTGACTGACCACAAAATTAAAACATAATATACTCAATAAACTTGTACCTGTCAAATGACAGCACTAGTGGTATTCAGTGCCTGACCTCCCTTTATCCCACAGCACTCAAATGCTCTCCACATGAAGGGGCATGTATTTCAATGAGCTTTAACCAGATATTAACCATAAAAGGTCTAGAGTACCACTCCCACTACACTTCTGAACAAGTGTCTCTGTTATCTCTGACCCCATCTGTCATTTCATCAATTCATCTCTTGCTTCAGGTCCCTACTGCCCTTAAAACTTCTGCTATCACTCCTATTCTTAAGAAACCTGGTCTGATACAGCCGCTTTGGAACACTACTGCCCTTAAAACTTCTGCTATCACTCCTATTCTTAAGAAACCTCATCTGATACAGCCACTCTGGAACACTACTGCCCTTAAAACTTCTGCTATCACTCCTATTCTTAAGAAACCTGGTCTGATACAGCCGCTCTGGAACTCTATTGCCCGATTTCTAATTTGCCCTTTTTAGCCAAACTGTTAGAAAGTGTTGTAGCATCTCAATTGCAGTCTTTTTTGATAAATAATGATCTTTTTGAAAACTTCCAGTCAGGCTTTCGTACAGTGCATAACACTGAGACAGCACGTTTAGAGGTTCTAGATGATCTCCTGCTGTCTTCTGATTCCAGTGCTATCAATTTTCTGCTCCTCTTAGATTCACCCGCTGCATTTGACACCTTTAATCATGACATACTCATCATACTGTTTCAGCTATTGGCATTACAGACGCTACCCTCGTCTGGTTCAGATCCTATCTCACTAATAGACTCCACTTTGTTGCTCTTGGTAAGCATAACTCTGCTATCAGTGCTGTTGCACAGGGTGTCCCCCAGGGTTCTGTCCTTGGTCCTCTTGGCCCTCTATTCTTCATTTATATTTGACCCTTCAGTCAGATCATCCACAGTCATGGTCTTCATTTTCATTGTTATGCTGATGATATATAAATCTACGTCTGCACCAACACCATCACTAACCTGTCATTCCCTGCCCTAATATCTTGTATTCCAGAGCTCAAACAATGGATGCAGAGTAACTTTCTAAAACTAAACACTGACAAAACTGAAATTCTGCTCATTGGTCCTAAGTCTGTTACTGCAAATTCTACTAATTTCACACTTAATTTGGATGAGGTGACCGTTACACCTTCAGCTGTTGTCCGTAACTTATGTGTGACTTTGGTCAAAACAGCTTTTTTCCATCTCCACAATATTGCTCGCCTTCGCCTCCTGCTCTCCTGAATCTCTGGTCCATGCTTTCATCATCAGGCTTAGACGACTGCAACTCCCGTCTCATTGGTGTTCCTTACAAAACTATCCGCCCTCTTCACTATTAACAAAACTCAGCAGCTAGAATCCTCTCACTCTGACAAATCAGCTCACATCACCCCAATTTGTTACTCTGGTTACCCGTCCCGCTTCATATCCAGTTTAAAGTCTTCTCGCTAACTGGCAAATCTCTACGTGCTTACTTAGCTTAGCTTACTTAGCTTACTTAGCTTACTTAGCCGAGCTTACTTAGTCGAGCTTGCTTAGCTGAGCTCCTGCCCCCATTACTGTCCCACCCGAACACTCAGGTCCTCTGACTCAGATTGTCTAGCTGTCCCAAAATGTAGGCTGGTCACTGTGGGAGGCAGATCTTTCAACGTCATGTTCCCCAAACTATGGAACTCATTACCACAATCTCTCCATGACTGTCCCTCACTTTCCTCCTTTAAAGCTCAGCTTTAAACCCACCTCTTTTCTCTGCACTTTCACTCTTCTCTTTCCTCATATGTTTTTTCCTTTTTTGCCTATGTAAAGTGATCTTGGGTTTGAGAAAGGCGCTATATAGGTTGGACATTATTTAATATTTGAGTTAGAACTTGGAAAACAACTCATTCTCATTGCTAGCAATAAACTATCATCACTAGTATGCTATTAATGTAAAGCAGGTATGCTTCTTGAGAGCATCTATGCTATTAGCCCCCCCCTCACCTCATTACAATGAAGACAGCACACCTGTGCAATGTGAGGATGCTACACATACAGCTCCTACTTCGCCAATAGTTAGAGCGTCCTTACTGCTGTCTCCACTCCTTCACAAAGCAAGATAACTTCTACTCCATAACTTAAATAAAGAAGCTTTAAAATGGCTTACTCCCAGCCCACTGTTGTGTGCTGCCCTGCCCGAGACCAAACGTTACTTTACTCCAGTCACGCGAGACTTTAAGCATCCTAGGAATGCAACGGAGATTCAGTTGTCAAAATACAAGTCCCCTAAAACAATGCATTTCAGCCCTGCCGGCTACATCCACCCCCACTTTAAAAGGTCACAGTCCTGGAGACAAAACACAGACCTGTTACCAGCCTAAAATATCATTGACTGCTGTTTTTCATGCCAATCGACTTGCTGGTGTCGATTCCGATTGCAGTGAGGGAACCAACTCCTTACCACTGAGAGTCCACTAACCTCCTGTCTCACCACCCACTGACCAGACCAGGTGTCCTCTTCCTCCTCACTACTGCAATCTTGGTGTGACTTGTCACCTATTTCTAGAGACTTACAATCCTTTCTCAGATTGTCAACAGGAAGAAAAGAAGCCTGCTTCAGAACCACCCTCAGTTCTGTCCTGTGAAGGTTTTGTTCAGGACCTTGAATT